TGAGTATTATAATTATAATGTCTCACTATACCTTCGGTTTCAAAAGCGACTTTTGGGTCGTCCACTGATTTCTTTAGTACCACAGGTCCAAGAACAATCGGAACGGTATCAGACAATTTATTAGGTGCAGAGATGTCGCGACGTTCACGTTGTTGGCAGTCTCTAGAGTATCTCCAGTCACTTCCATTGCAAATAGACAATTCACAGTGAATAAACACCTATTACATGAATAAGGAATTAAAACAAAATAAAACTTTCTCTGATTTACTGATTGCTCCAGTCATATAACGGTTTCTTAATTTAGATAAGGGGTGCTATTTTGTAATTATGGAACGTCCAATCACATAATACCTGTTGATTTTTCTGCTAATAATAGGGAGTTGTTTAATCGTAACATGTGGTGAAAGGCCGTAAGTTTATTAGTTAATTTGCAGTCGTTTTCGAGTCCTTAAAAGCCTCCGAAGGAAAAATGTAAATATATTGTAAAACTCAGAAACGGTTATTAAGATTATAGTCAAACAAACATTGCGTGTCTTAGACAAATACCGTATGATGTACAGCTTACCATTTTTTTCCTCGGAGCTTGACTTTAACACAACGGAAGAGCAGTTGTGTGCTAAGTAAGCATGCGCAATTCGAAGTAAGTGATAATAATAATAATATAGCGCTTAATGCCAACAAGGCCTCTAAGCGCTTCACGTTGTTACCCCCCAGTCATTTGATCAAATGCCTATGGAACATAAACTCAAGCTCCCTGGTAGAGTCCATTATAACGTTTCAGCACGACTTTGAGGTTTATGTTGTGAGGACAACAACTGACTACCTGTTAAGTTATATACAGTAGTGCTACATGCTACTCCAATTCAAAATAAATGAATAAATGAAAATTACTCTATCTACAATAGAGTGCATTAATCCTACCGTAGAGTAACCACCGTTGAAACCAAAGGTTTTAAATGAAAATAAGACACGAGATGTACCGCCGGACGTTTGCTGGCCGTCAAACTGAACAGTTGAATCTACACCACAGCTGTAGTTAAAAAAATGAATGTTTTTATACTAAACTGAATACTTAGCCATAGATGCGTATTACCATATGTATTATAGGTAGGAAATTAATATAACATTTAGAAAAAAAACTAAAATCGATTAATTCTGTACCTGTTTTCAATTAATTGATACTGTGGATTACCATCCGAGTCAGGATTAGGTGTTGCCTTGCAAGAATCGACAAAAAGAACCATATCGTCACTGAAAGTTTGCACACTGGCACCGACGTACGCTGTACTACCAAGACTCAATTCTACAGGGTATTCCCAATATGGGTATGGTGTAGAGTAGTCATCATCAGTGTAAAGCTCCATCGTAAACGTAAAATTCCCATGTTCTCGCTTGAAGTAATCCAGTACAACTGGATCGAAATTAACCGAAGATCGCCCTCTATTGTCAAGCTGACACTGAATGTCAATGTGAAGATCATCTTCTCGGTAAATCATAGATGTACTGTCTTTAGATACGATGATCTGATTGTGGTACGTTGTCGAAGTCACTGTGGACTGAAAAGATGCCCATTTCATATAAAATACAGCATAACCTCTGAATTTTTCTAGTAACGCAGTCGTCTGGAAAATGGTACTCTACTTCTTATGTGTAAAATGTACTTTTAAATCCACGCTTCCCAGACTATGGGTCGCAACCAAAAAGTGGGTCATAAAACTACTGCGCTGAGTCACGAGCAGGTTGGCAGGAAAAATGTAAATTCATCATTTACAGGGTTTATAACTTAAATGGCTAATCAGGAAGTCGAACTAAATTACTATGTTACAAAGCCTATTGTTTATTGGTGCAATCTAGGGATTATAATTTAAATGGCTAATCAGGGAATCGGACCGTTTATTATGTTATAGAGGCCTATTGTTCACTGTTGCATATCTGGTGCTAATTAAATATTTCTTTCTATGACGACAAGTTGACACTAACTCATTCTTGCTATTGAGTGAACATAGTTCTGGATGACATATAATTAAATACTTTTCATATAAACAAAGATTACAGCGCTTAGTCGTGTTTGAATATGGCTTACAGCGTTTCATACTTCTCCACTTAACAGTAAATTCTATGTTAGATTCCTTAAGGGACCCGATATGTTTACTTAACTCTGTGCTGTTTCTCTTATTTGCATTTCGGAATGAACTCATATGATTTCTAAATCTAGTTTTGAACTGATTTTCAGTGAAGCCTATGTATGTCTCGTGCTTGTTACTGTCCTGTCTTGTTACAGTTGCTTGGTATACTATGCCTTCGGTTAAATACTTAAACAA